GTTGGAGCTGTACTGCTCCAGTCTGGTCATGATGGCGCATTACAACCAGTATGCACGCTTCTAGAACTCTTAATGCAGCTGAGAAAAATTACGCTCAAATTGAACGTGAATCATTAGCAATTGTATTTGGAGTTACAAAATTCCGTCAGTATTTACTTGGCAGACATTTTAAACTCCTAACAGATCATAAACCGTTGATAACCTTACTGGAGGAACATAAGTCAGTTCCACAGTTAGCGTCGGCACGGATTAAGAGATGGTCCCTTCTTCTGGCAGCATACAACTACACGATTGAGTTTATTTCTGGAAAAGAAAATGTCTATGCAGACTTTCTTTCAAGGAAACCTATTAACATACAACCAACTCCAAAGGAACAGGTAGAGGTTAGAGTCATGTTTATTGCAGGAGAACAAATTGTTAATTCCACAATGGTTGCCATGGAAACTAAGAAAGATCCAGTCTTAAGTAACGTACTAGATTTTACGAAGAATGGGTGGCCAGAAAAACCACAACCTGAATTACAACCTTATCATACTAGGCGATTAGAATTATCACATGAAGATGGAATTTTGTTATGCGGGACACTCGAGTTGTAATTCCAGAATCATTACGCGATATTCTACTGAAGGATTTACATGTCGAACATTTCGGAATAGTGAAGATGAAACAACTGGCGCGTAAATACCTATGGTGGCCTAAACTTGACAAAGAAATCGAAGAAACAGTTAAGTCTTGTATGGCATGTCAGGAAGAAGCCAACTGATTACCAAATGCATCTCAACAAGCATCATGGTCTTGGCCTGGAGGCCCTTGGAAGCGTATTCATTTAGATTACGCAGGTCCATATCTAGGGAAAATGTTCTTAGTCGTTGTCGACGCCTATTCCAAGTATCTTGAGATTGTCCCAATGTCTAATGCTACTTCAACTACCACCATGTCTAATGCTACTTCAACTACCACCAGCTTTACGACATATTTTCAGCAGTTTTTGACTACCTGAACACATTGTTTCAGATAATGGTAGCCAATTTACCAGTGAGGAGTTTCAGAAATTTCTGAACGATAACAATATTCAACATACTACAACCGCTCCAGGACATCCTGCAACGAATGGATTGGCAGAAAGGTATGTGGGTAATTTTAAAGATAAACTAAAGAAAATGGGGGACTCAGGAGAGCCATTGCAGACAAAACTAGACCGGTTTTTACTGACGTGCAGAGCTACCTCTACAGGTTTAGGAAAGTCACCATCAGAGTTGCTAATGAACAGGCAACCACGGATCCGATTGAGTGCGCTTAGGGCGAAACAATCGAAAAATGAAGTCAAAATATTTCAAGATAATCTAGATAATCAACCAAAGTACAGTCAGAATCAAGCAGTATTCGCACGAAATTTTGGCAAAGGAGCACGATGGCTTCCAGGGGTTATAGTAAAGATAATTAGTCCTAGAAATTATGACGTGAAGGTGGGGGATGTTATGTGGAAACGACATGAAGAGCAATTGCGTCCACGACACATACCTAGTTTTGAAAACGCGGAACAAGCGAAGTCGGAGATGGAACAAAATTGGTTCCCAGAAACGAAGACAGAAACAAACAAAAGAGAAACGATTCCTGCACACACGGAGGATAGGGTACCTGCAGTACTAAGTGGGGTTGCGAACGAGTTCATTACGTTCACCCCAGTTAACACGAAAAGTAAAGATCGGGACTGTGGAGAACTTACTAGTAAAATGGACTTACTTATTAACGTTACACCAAACGAGTCCACAAGAAGGTATCCTTTACGTGAGCGTAAACCTCCTAAAAGGTTTACTGAATAGTAAAAACATTTTGAACTTAGGTAGATTGTTGTGTTATGTTACGGGTTTAACGTTTACAGTGCAGGGACACTTAAAGAGGGGGCAGTTGTTATATATTGATTATATGAAGTACTGGATATAGACGCATGCGCAAGGGAGTCTCGATAGAGAGTTGAGAGGGCGAGGAGTTCTTTTTAGAAATACTCGTTATTACACATATTTGGAGATTAAAGGTTATTTTGGGCATTCAATCCTTACTCGGCTACACGAGAAATACATTACAGATAGAATAGTGCATTAAACGGCCAATCGGCTTATTTTTTCATGCTCTTTCAGATGAAGCAATACATTTTTTGGTTGCTCATACCCTTTAACAGCATTGAACAATATTATTCATCTTGAATGGGGTGCAACAATGCTGAACAATATTGTTAACATTCGTGAACAATAGGTGTAGCACAATATTATTGTTGCAACCTGTTTTTACTGATCAACATTGCAACTACAAGTTTATGATTTTTACGTGTGTATGCAGGAGAGGAAAAACGTTTTTTTCCGATTTAGACACGTGTCCTGACAATTCCCAGGATATTCCTGTGACACCGGTTTTGCACCCAAAATACCAGCCATATGGCAGTGTCAAGATAGTATGCTATCACAAAAAGTTGAGTTCGAAGTTATATGGAGAGAATTGTAGATTACATTATTAATAAAAGATAAACTGACAGATAAAATTCGTTCTTCGAACTGATTTGTGGTTGTCATTTTACCGGGAACTTCTTTCTTATATTTATTCAGTTTTATAGGCAAATTACATGTGTTCGCAATGGTCTAGCAAACAACGAATTCAATTAAATTTCCCATTTCAGCGTTTTATCGCCATTTCAGCGTTTTATCCCCATTTCAGCGTTTTATCCTCATTTCAGCGTTTTATTCCCATTTCAGCGTTTTATCCCCATTTCAGCGTTTTATCCCCATTTCAGCATTTTATCCCCATTTCAACCTTTTATCCCCATTTCAGCGTTTATCCTCATTTCAGCTTTTATCCCCATTTCAGCGTTTTATCCCCCGATTTCAGGGTTTTATCCTCATTTCAGCGTTTTATCCCCATTTCAGCGTTTTATCCCCACTTCAGTTTCCGCTTTCAGTTTCGTTTCCGCGATTCAGTTTCAGCGTTTTATCCCTACCCCAAAGGAATTTTCAATAATTTCTTAATTTTAATTTAATTTCTAAAGAATTTTGTGGAATCGATAAAGGAATTTACATCAATAGATAGTGGAAATTTCAATTAGTTTTACTGTCGATGCAATGGAAGTGTTAATAAAATATTGCACCAATTCCTTCCTCAAGTTGATCGACTGAATTCATTTGATAGAAAATTGATCAACTTCCTGTTACTTTTAATTAAATGAGCCAATTGGATTTCGTTTCAGAACCGATTGACCAATAGGAAATGCACAGGAAGTAAAAATAAATTTGAATTCGTATGAATTGATCAACTTGAAGAAATGAATTCATGCAATATTTTACCAACACTTCCATTGCATCGACAGTAAACGGGGTGAAAATATTGAACTATGTTACAGTCAAACTGGATGTTCTCTTGCGAGCAACATTGCAATATTGTCTCACAGTATTGCATTTTGATAGGCAGATTGCTCTGAGCAATTTGCAATAGATTTGTAAACAAAGATTTGTAAACAAAGCGTCAAACGGCTTCTGATTGGACTATAAGAAAGAGGAAAGCACCAATCCAGTTGCTCAGACTATCTGATTGGCTTCCCTCTTTCTTATAGTCCAATCAGAGGTTTTGTTTACAAATCTTTTGTGAATTTCATCTTGCAATTTGTTCGCGTTGCAAATTGCTAAGAGCAATCTGCCTATCAAAATTGCAATATTGTGGGACAATGTTGCTCGCAAGAGAACATCCGGTTTGACTGTAAGTAAACTGCAAGGCTAACTGCTATGATGAAGGTCTATGATCACAAGCGGCCCAATCTCTGAATGTTCTATATATTTTGAATATTTTAATACGGAATATTTAATTATCACTTAGTTTACTGAGACCTATGGAAACAGTGTGTTTTGTGGCCCCCACAAAACACACTGCTTTCCCGAGGTCTCAGTAAATAAGTGTTTTGTTATATAGTATATAAGTATCAAAGTATGAATAATTCACCGGTTATTGGAATGAACTTAATTCCTGCAGCCAATAATTCAGATCGTGCAAGCGAACAGCAAATTTTTTTATTTGAACGGTTATTATAAGAAATTAAAATTAAATTAAACTTAAATTGAAATTAAATTAAACTTAAATTAAATTAAACTTAAAACGTTTAATTTAAATTAAATTAAAATTAAAATTAAATTAAACGTTTCTTCCAAACTCTCACGCGTGTTCCTATAACTCTATATATAGATACACGGAAAATGTTTTCTATTTCTTAAATACTATATACCGGGTGGGGCAAAAAAAGTATACGACTGTTTGAATTGCTGCAAAATCAAAACTAAAATTGCAATGACACTAAAACAAGTTTATTGGCATTCAGCGATATCCAACTTAAATTTTGATATAAGTTTAATTGAGGGTCCTGAAGGGGGGGTCCCAATCCCATTTCCCACCTGAAATTTTGGCAAAATCCCAGTCCCAGTTGGATTTTTATTAGAAATCCCAGTCCCAGTTATTGAAATCCCAGTCAATAAAAAACCCTTTATTTATCGGTAGAATAAACAGTTTTAAGATCTTTTAAGCAAGTGGCGGACACTTTATGAAGTATTAGGGAGGGGGGGGGCTCGTGCCGAAGGCACGGAAAATTTTTAAATTTGAATCCCGGAAATGGCATTTGCAGCATTCTGAGACACGCATTAATCAGAAAACCCAGAATTCCGGGCGCCAGAGTATGCCTGTTCGCAGGTAGTGCTGTGAATAATATAGTTAACAACAAAAATCATGACCAAAGACACCAAAAACGGATCAAAATTGTATTTTAAAATACTCAAAACGCAGAAAAATTGGGAATCGACTCACATTACCTCAATCCCATTCCCATTTTTGAGGACTTCATTTCCCATTCCCAGTGAGCAAATCCCAGTCCCAGCAACCCAAATCCCATTTTCCCAGTCTAAAAATAGGTCAATCCCAGTTCCCCTTTTACCCCTTCAGGG